TTAAAAACATCACTGGTTCATGAAACAAAGTATTCGAACCCTAAATATTGTCATGGTGATATCAAACAAATTGCCAAACCGTAGAGTATAACTGCATCACAGAAAATCAGTTGCACTTTAGGTCAAAACATGGTCTGTGTGTGTTTGTTCTAGTGATGTGGGTGGACGTTAACAACTGCATTTCAAAGAGCACGGTGGTCGGTCTTCCTGCACTCTGGCCAAATAGAGCTCATTCATCCAAATATTCACTAAACCAGAATAAACATCGTCACTCATCACATTTCTCTTTGTGGGAATCCCTCTACGATAAATTAATTCATAACACTTGCCTTTATAACAGTTATCACACTTTTGAGAAATTCACTAACTATGTAAACTGTAACAAACTCAAGTAGTATATTATTTATTACTTGAGGTGTTTAGATCGAGAAGATATAACAAAACATTCATTCAGGGAAATTTACCTTTTATGTAAATGTTTAGTTCTATGTCAGTGCCAATTACAAACTTACCAAAGTGTTCAAGGAAGAAATCTAGACTAATTTCAATAGCACTAGAGTTAACTATTAAAATTAAAATCGCAATATAGATTTCTCTGATGATCCCTATGGCTGGTGCCAAATGTGGAATAAGCCAATTACTAATGCAAACAATCTTTTAAAAAGCAATTTTCTAGCATTAGCTAGATGTTAATTGCTGAATGAAGTCAAAATGTAGATTTATATTGATTTTAGTTTAGACCCCAAAATTGAGGTCTGCATAGCCATAACATATTTTCAAGTTGATCCATGCACATTCCTAAACAAGGCAGTATTTCAATGTCAAAGTATAAATCTTGTGTGCTTCTCAGTCTCCAAGAATAGTTATGGTAAATAACTCCATTTAAAAAACGTGTATTATTCAGTACCTTGGTAACATTCATGTTGCCTTACACCAGGTTTAAACATGTGCACTTCAACCTACAAAGTACATCTGAAATCTGTTAAATTTTAGTTAAGTTTCCAAACCAGTAACAACCCATTACTACAATGAGTACAGTATGAGCCCAAAAAGAGTAGGTCATGAAGGAGGAGCACAATAGAAGCAAGCTACATAGACCCTATAACATAAGATCTTGAAGTATTATTTCTTAGTTTATAACAGTTTATGTTTCAACCTGAGAATCTCACAAAAGCAGAACCTGAGAAAACCCACTGACACTTGAAGCGTTCCAGCAAGGTTTGAAGATATTTGCCTTTGTGATTACGGCTCTCACACCTTCCATCCTTCATCAGGAAGAACTGGAGTTAGAAGCAGTGTCAATATTACACTTCAGTACAATTACAGCAACCATGATAAATTATAAAATACCCTCATTCTATTAATCAACAGGATCAGTTACAACGTTTACTTAACTTGCACATAACAAAAAATAAATAGGCTTCCTGCAAAATAGAAGGATGCATGGAATTTAAATCGTGCAAAGCTCTTGCTGTGCATTTCAAAACATTTGAGCTATTGGTTCCAAAAAATTTTCATGAATAAAACTGAAGTGAATCATAAAGAAGACATTAGTAAATGAGGAAAGTTTCATGTTCCACAGTTTAGATAAGTGGACCGTGAAATTTCTTGTTTTCATTATTACACCAAACAAAATTATTGTCACATCATTTATTTCTTCCATAAAATGAAAGTCTTAGAAAGTTTACAGCCAACATTCATCCCGTCAGTCTTGGCTACATTTCAAATCTAGATCCCAGAAGTAAAAGTGTGCCAACTCCATATCCGAGAAGTGAAAGGATGTAACACGGAAAAGAAAATCACTCTGACACACAGCAACCTCCTCCCCGCACCTCCTTTTGATGTATTAAGATGTATCTTCCCTTGCCCAACAAAACCAAAACAAATATAAGCAGTAATCCAACAAAGAGTTCACCATTCGGCAAACTGTTCATCACCTGACGAATTACTGTCCTGCTGCGCAATACACTGTTGCATTATTTGCTTATAAAACAATTTAAGACACTGCACCACCTTGTTGCTTATTTGCAACATGAAGTATGGGGAAGCGTGAGATTTTGATCAATATTGACAAACATCAGAGACCTCCACTATTGCACACAATAAACAAAGCTCGATTAGGAAGACGGCAAAGGCAGCAGCTGTGATACATCGCTTCTATTTATTTACGTTATTTCCAAGTTGACAGAAAAGAAAGAACTCCTGATTTGGACACTTTTTGAATTAACACAAACCGTGCGAGCGAGGAGCTCAGACACAGAGGCTATGCCAGGTCAGCGACAAAGCACATTTAAAAGTAGATGATCCAACAACTGGATGACTTACAACTTGCCTGTGAAGTTATTTATCAAATCTTATTGGTGGTCATTACATCTAATTATAAGCCCTGATAGATTTTCATCTAACTTCTCCAGTTCTTTTATAGATGATCTTGTTACTGTAATACGATGCACCACAACTTTTATAATAATTTAATCTTTGACAATCATAACTAACAGACCCATTTTTTTTTCCTCCATGAGTTAATGAGGTTAACAAGAATAATCACCCCCTGTTGATGAAAAAAAATTGTCGCTTTGACAACGCTGACGATGTCAAGGCACTGTATTTCTATTTAAACTATTCAAACCCTGAGTCCACCATCTCAAGTTTGCATGTTAAAGCTATACTGTAACACAATATGTGCATAATATATACATCACATGGATTTGAGTGCTTCTTCCAGTTTGGAGCAAGCAGCTCTGCCACTAAAAAGCAGAACAAATTGCAAGACTAACTTTAGGCAACATCTCTTGAAAAAGATAATATTAATAATGATTCTTTCATTTCATATTGCGTTATATCACGTCAATGAGACGTCCCGAAGCGCTTCACAGAATATATTGCAAAATGGATTGACCGTGTAGTTTGTGGGAAACGATGCTGAAACAAAATGAAAAGATGGTCAATATCCACAAATCCTCACACACTACAAATGGCATTCAGATAAACCCGTGCGTTTTTGGGAAAGGATTCTGATCCTGAGGATAAACAGTTTGATTAATAATACAGTATACTCCTGATAACTCTATCCTCGCTTAATTTGTCACAAATCCTTATGTCACCATTTGCTGTCAATATCCTGGCTGTGTTTACTTATGTATTTATACATATGCCTAACTCACTACTCCAGAAAATTCTTCACTGAGCCCTTTTTTCTTGGAGTGACGAGTTATCAGAAGTTTACTGTATACAAGTGATGGCCTCACAACCACTGTCACTACACTTCAAAGTACCATAACTCACTGCATGGGGTACATGGACTGCAATATGACACTATAGTCGATCACCTACAAATACACAGCCGCTAAAGTTTACAGTAAATCTTGTGAAGCACTGAGACACCCTCCTGATATAAAACATATGATTATTATATCAATTGACACAATTGTCACAGTATTATTATTGAATCCAAGTGGTTTTAATTATTATAACATCAAACAAAGCTCAGTTGAAAAATTGCACTCTTAACTGCCTATATTACCAGACATTGCCCTTCAAAGTAACTCATTGTGGGAATATTTCTGCATTGCTCACGGTATGTTTGACACAGTCACTACAGTCGCAGCAAGATCCTGTGAACCACTTTGAGACACCCACACAACATAGTAAGGCTCTGTATTAAATGCAGGGAGTCGTATAATAATAATATTAATAATAATATTATTATTATACATCACAGTGTGAGAAAAGCTGCCAAAATCAAATGCAAGATTTACCAGAGCAAACAACCAAAAAAAGGAACAAATGAGTATTACCATAATTATGAATAAATGAATGACTATTAGTAATTATTCAGAATTACGGTGGCATTAAACATTGATGTTTTAATAATAATAATCCTTGCATTTGATACAGCGCCTTATCAATCACATCGTTAGACGTCTCAAAGCGCTTCACAGGATATATTGTGAAGTGGTTTGTGGGGGAAGGAGGGAAGGAGACGTGTGTCCCAGCAGCTCGGCTCAGGGGTGGAGGGATGGCAAGGCAGGCAGGCAGGGGAGGCAGGGAAGGAGGTCAGGCAGGGATGGAGGGAGGGAGGGCAGGGAAAGCAGGCGGGCAGGCAGGGCAGGACAGGGAGGGAGGGCAGGCAGGGAGGGAGGGCAAGCAGGGAGGAGGGGCAGGGCAGGGAGGGAGGGAAGGAGGGAAGGCTGGCAGGGCAGAGAGCGAGGCAGAGCTGGCAGGGAGGGAGGGCTGGCAGGGCAAGGAGGGAGGGCAGGCAGGGCTGGGAGGCAGGGAGGGCTGGCAGGCAGGGAGGGAGGGCAGGCAGGGAGGGAGGGCGGGCAGGGAGGGAGGGCAGGGCAGGCAGGGAGGGAGGGAGGGAGGGAGGGAGGGAGGGAGGGCAGGCAGGCAGGCAGGGAGGGAGGGCAGGCAGGGAGGGAGGGCAGGCAGGGAGGGAGGGCAGGGAGGGAGGGGGACAGGCAGGGAGGCAGGGAGGGCAGGGCAGGCAGGCAGGGAGGCAGGGCAGGGAGGGAGGCAGGGCAGGGAGGGAGGGCAGGCAGGGAGGGAGGGCAGGGTAGGCAGGGAGGGAGGGCAGGGTAGGCAGGGAGGGAGGGCAGGACTGGCAGGGAGGGAGGGCAGGGCAGGGCAGGCAGGGAGGGAGGGCAGGGAGGCAGGGCAAGCAGGGAGGGCAGGGCAAGCAGGGAGGGAGGGCAGGCAGGGAGGGCAGGCAGGCAGGCAGGGAGGGAGGGAGGGCTGGCAGGGAGGGCAGGCAGGCAGGCAGGGAGGGAGGGAGGGCAGGCAGGGAGGGAGGCAGGCAGGGAGGGAGGGAGGGCTGGCAGGCAGGGAGGGAGGGAGGGAGGGCTGGCAGGCAGGGAGGGAGGGCAGGCAGGGAGGGCAGGGAGGGAGGGCAGGGAGGGAGGGCAGAGCGGTCAGAGTGCTGCTGTCCCACTGGCCTCAGTAGATAAGGATTACCGCCGTCTCTCCGCCGCCCGCGCGTCTCCCCGGGTTACGGGGCCTACCTGAACCGCGGCGAGTCCTTCAGACACTCCTCGAAATCCACCGTCAGCTTCATGGCGATCGGGTGTGAGGGCGCAGTGTCGGGGACTGGGGGTCAGGACTGGGGGTCGGACACTCAGAGCCGCGCGCGCGCCCTCTCAGTGCTCTCTCTGTCAGAGGCTCCTCCCCAGGGCTGGGCCTACGTCACCAACCCCCGCCCCCCCGCGCTATCAGCCAATCAGCGCAGTGGCCCCGCCTTTAGTCCCACCCCTCCACCAATTTAGATTGGCGTCCGTTCCAGCCAATCGGAGCAGTTCCCCTCCATTACGTTCCCCGCCCACCGTAGATTGACGTCGATCTCCACCAATCAGAGAAGCAGTTCCACCTTTAATCCCGCCTTTAATGAGATTGTAGCCAGTTTCATTCAATCAGCTTCAACCCTCCCCTCCCCCACCCCCCCCCACCAGGCACTGGGGGGTGACCAGTCTGAGGCCAACACCATCACCCCCCCACCCCCCACCCCCTCCCCGTCTGTCTGTCCCTCCATCCCTGAGCCCACGCAGTGTCAGACTCCGGTACTCCCAAGCGCTCTGGGATGCGAGTTGTTGTGTGCGGTGGTTTGTCATGGCAGCTCACTGTGAGAACTGGAAGTCTGGGTCACCATCCCATTGCCAGTGGTTTTAGGAGTTTTAGGGGTAGAGATAGCGCTCTGGGAGGCGACCCCGCGTGAAAGGCGCTACGTAAGCGCAAGTTGTTGTTGTTGTATATCGCCACCTTCACATCTGTCCTGATGCCTCCGGAACCTTTCGTTCCCTTCCTCCCAACGATGTGAAAGGTGCAATACAAATGTCATTTGTTTTTGTCGTTGGTTTGTGTTTTACAGCAGGACAAACGGGTGTATTTGCTATGCAATTTGCTCAACATCTGGCAGCTGGTCTTCAGAATGAACTAAAGACCTTTCCATCATACATTCATGCCTCTCCTCTGCCAGGATCCATGCATTAACCGAAGACCGGTCTTGGAGGAACTCTGTCAATATTTTGTTCATTTGGCAACAACAATAACAACAAATTACATTTGCAGAGCGCCTTTCAAATTGGGCAGGTGGTACATCACCATCTCTACATCTATTCTGAGTATGCTTCACAGAACTTTCCTTCCTTCACGCAAGCTGCTCCCTGACATTCTTGCCGCACAATTCAGGCTGAAACATTCCATGATTCCAGTCATTTTGTGCTCTGCCCGAGATCACAGTATTAGAAACTCGGTCCTGTTATTTGATGTTCCCTCACCTTCTCCTCTCCCTCACTCGGAGTCCGAATCCCACCTTTGAAAAGTGACCGTGGATATTATATTAATAATCTTTGCATTTTGATTATTTAGATTAGTTATCATACATGGAAGGCGCTATGATGGACTAGAATAATGAAAACCTTTTAGGATACTTTACATATATAGAGGGCACTGCCAACACTTCAAACTCAAGTGTTCGGAATACCTTTGAATTTGTTTTGCATTCAACCAATGCTTGATATCAACATCATTCCCGAACCAGATAAAAGTAACCACTCCCTTTATTTTACATTTAATTTTGTGAAATAGTGCTTTGTCACAATGCCACCTAAATAATTTGAACAGTCGTGGAACTGCATCTTCTTGTTTTATGTGGACTCAGCTGAGGTTGCCAATAACTAGATTTCCTTCAAGTCGTGTGGTAGTGTCTGCCAATAACTGTGCCAAAATAAATATGCAACTAAAGAATACTTCAAGGGGGCATTCCAGGTGTGACTTATTTTCATGAATAAAACACAGGAAAATAGTAACCTGAAAGAATAAAGCAAAATCAAGTTTAAAAGTGATTATGCCACCATCTGGTGGGAGATTTCAGAATTACTGCTTTTAAATTTCTACCATTCGGGTAGCTGCACGCACTTATCGCATCCCAAACTACAGTTGATATATATTGTGTCCCATGATATTATTTCCTAAAATGCAATAGTGTGTAAACGACAGTCTAAACCATGGACAATAAAAAAGTATCCCCAAGTCAAAAGTACAGTGTTTCAGTTGTGCAATGGTATGAATTGAGACAAGTTTAAGTTTGGAGGTCTAACATATAATTCTTTTTTATTTGACAAGACACAATACAACAGTTTTCTTTGATGAGTAAACATCCAATCATGGGAAATTTCTCCACAGATTTCCAGTGACAAATGGTAATAGCCAAACTTCTGCTTGACTTTAGGTGAGATTTCATTTTACAGTTCAGTCAAGTGAAGGCCAAGTCAAGATTTTATTTATTGCTCGTTGTTAAAGACGCTTACACTCATTACACAGAGAGCAGTGAAAGATGGCATTTCATGTACAAGTATTAACTTGGCTTCAGCTTTATTCTGGTACATCTAATTCTAACAAATATACATGCAGCAAATTACAGTAGTGCTGAAACGACTGAAATTCTACCACTGCATTTCACTGTAATGTAAAAACTATGAAGCTTCTAAAATAAAGTATTGCTCTAAGAATAGTCTCTTCCAAATATAAACAATCGATTGCCTAGGAGGGGAAAAGTTGAGGCTCTTCTGTATTATTTTTTGCATTAAAAGCATTCCTGCACTCTGCATCCCATTTGGGTCACCGTACATACCTGAAACCTTTACACCTTGGTTTCAGCTATCTCTTCACTTCACTAGATTCATTACTTTTTATGTAAATAATAATACTTGCATTTGATATAGTGCCTTATTATGTCATTGTGAGTCTCAAAATGCTTCACAGAATATATTGTGAAGTGGATTGACTGTATTTTGTGGGCGAAACAAGGCAGCCTACCCACATCAGTCGTGGATTAAGTACGCATTTTTAAAAAAATAAATGAAGCTCAAGTTTCTTCTGTGTTTGTAAGCTCACTTTTTTTTGGTCAGCTGTGTTTGACGCGTGAAAACCCATCACCATGAGTATCCGAACCTGGAAGAGTTCATTCATCCCGCCGCCACCTGGAAATTACTGTGTATTGGAATGGAATGCACTCTCTGCTTGGAGTGGCACATCCTGCTTACCTAATTCGGGCACAGACTGACATGAGCCAAGGCTCGGGGACCCCAGAGTGTGCATTGGCATACTGTTGACGCTTATCTAACTAAAACCGCAAAGCCCAATTTGTATTGTGAAAGTGGTTGAGAAAAAAGGAATCGTAAAGCAAAGGGTTGCAACAATGTGAAATTGCCTCAGAAGGCTGTAGATGCAAAATCAATTAGGATGTTTAAATGAGTAATACTGTACATTGGGATTCAGAATATTAAAGGGCTTAGAGAAATGGGATGAAGAAATCAGTAGCAAAAATACCTTGATAATTGAGTTGCCTACTCCTATTTATTAAGCAGGGCATTCCAGTACAATAATATTGCAAGGAAGCATGAAAATACTTCAGGCAAAAGAGTGAAGGCGAGAAATATGTTTTGGTTGGAAAAAAATATACACAGAATAATATGTGGATTTGAATAGGGTGTTATGCAAATGATGTACATAAAGGAATACATTCTCAGGTAATTGAGGTACATAAAACAATAAGATTGGGGAGGGTGAATGGATTCAGTGCACGATGAACACAGTAGAGGATGGAGGGTGTTAATGACTTGGGTGGTGAATGGCGGGGTAGATGGAGTGTTTCCAAATATATTCTACAACATGTTAAATCCTCAGGAGAGGCCAATTTTCCAACGTCCATCTTTTTCATATATTTATATATGTAACAAAATAACAGCATAGCATAGACTTGCCCACCCCCTGCACCCCATTATATCTCATGGTGGTATTCAAGCATTCAAGGCCATCAGATCTGAGTCGCAATGTCTCACAGAAACATAGACATTTACTGCGCAGAAGGCAGCCATTCGGCCTGTCAAATCTGCACTGGTTCTCAGCACAAGCTGTGCCATCAATCTCACTGCCCTCCCCTCCTAGAAAAATACACTATGATGAGCTCAAGGTATATCTGTTAAGATATTACATGAAAACTAAATGGAAGTTTCATTGAAACCAACACAAGAATTGTTTCCAGACGGACATTATTCTGCTCCATCCCTGCAAAGTCTGTCTCAAGGTCTCTTTTTGCTTGCGGTCACCTTTCCCCTGCTCTCCTCCCTGGGATCCCACCCCTAGCTCGGGTACTCAGCCAATACTATGATTCGCTTTGGGGCATCCTCCAGATTTGAAAGGCACGGTATAAATGTGAATCTGTACTCTAGTGTACCTTTTACGATGAAATAAGAAATAACCAAAAATAAAAAGTTCTTGCATTTGATAAATCAATGTCATTTTGGACAGAATTTGCACAATCCCTGAAAACGACGTGAATCAATTGTACCTATTCATTGTTAACACAATTCATATATCACAAAGATGTGAAAGGTTCAGGTGAAGTAGATTTATCACCATATTTGATCCCACCCAGATTATAAGCCCTACTTTGAAGAACAGTCTTTATATGTGGAACATCAAGAATTTTTGCATACAAGTTTTGACTTGCGAGTTAGTGTTTAATCAGTATTTCATTTTCCAATTTAGCGATCCTAGCATTTCATACACACAAACCTGTTTGTTAATTTCTGTTGACCCAATGCAAAACTCCAATAGAAATTTTCTTTGTACAGTATAAAGCTGCTTTATGCAGCCCGCAATTCAGACTTTCAACAGCTCCTTACTGCATCAACATTGTTTCCCCTCTCCCTCCCCACTACCCATCATCAGACGAGTTTTATAATCACACCTCGTATTAACTTTAATCAGTGCAGCATTGAAGAGATCACCATCACTCACAAGCAAAATAGCCAATAATTATGAAGAATGTATACAGAACAAGGAGACACTACCCTGCTTATTCAGCCTGCCTGCAATTGCATAAAACATGCATTTTCTTCCAATTGGTGAAGTTAGCACAATACAACCTGCCTTTCACACACATAAACCAATGTTTGCACTCATTTGTTTTAAAGACAGCAGACATACAAAATTAGGCGCTGTATTGTGAAACGACGCTAAATATTAAAAGGTAAGATGGTGTTTAACTTGTGGAGAGAGGATTGTGTGGGTCTGCAAGAGATGTACCTGTGATGGGACACAACAGTACACATCAAAGCCTCAAGACCTGGAATCACAGCACATTGCAGAAACACAAGCTTTCTTCAGTTGTAAATGGTTTGCTTCTTAAGCAAAGGGCTGATGTGCTCCAGGACTATCTGGCATCTGAACTAAGCAGCTAGTTAAGATGTGTGTCATTAGCTCTCACTATTAAGTGGGAGCAGTGAATAGAAACAGCGGTTGCCCAAAGCAGTGAAGGAACTACTGACATCTCTATGTCATGTATTTACACACATCTCTATGTCATGTATTTACACACAAGGATCACAGTGGTGTGGACGAGCTCATGGAATTAAGTCAGATCAACAGTCTCTGAATACTGTGGTGAGAATGTAAGACTTCAGTATATTTTGATATAAGACACAAAACATTTGGCTTCCCCATTCTCTGCGAATACACCTTTGTTTTTTTTTAAAAAAGTAATGTAACACTGTGTTGGAGCGTAAATCCACAAGCTAGCAATTGCCTTTTTTGGTTAGTGAGGTCGCAACTGGTTCAATTTTGATTCTCATTGTGAAAGAATAAAATCTACTAATCACATCACTACTTGGAACAAATGTAAACCACTTTGTTTCAATCTGCAAACTTGCTGAATACCAATCCACACAGCAGTATGAAGATAAGTACTCTACAAATCCCATTCTTCCTTCCAAATTAAGTTACAAGGAAGGGTTTGGAAACACTGGCACGTGCGAAGTGATGTATTCACATTTGATAAGTTTTCAATTGGAAAATTCACACAAGCATAAAGAGAAAGACCACGGTCTTTTTTAAATGACTGTTACAGAAAATATAAATCATGTTAAGCCACGACTTAAGAGCAGAAGATAAATCATTTACAAGGACACAAAAAAATCTAAGTTGCATTTTTTTTCAGTTAACAAGTCAGGTATTTCTGCATGCTCTGATCCCAGGCTATAATTTAAGAAATAAAAAATAAATTCTGAACAAACCTGATCAGAAATCACTTACTGGATGAGAAACCATATGCAATAAAATAAGAGTGATAAAATACAATGCAAACAAACACCCAAAAAATAACCACTATGTAAGTTTTGGAAATGATCCAGCGACAGACATCAGCGCAGCTAAAATCAGTGTCTCACCTCACGGTGAAAACACAAGAAAGCTGATAATGTTCCGTCGAGCAGCAGCCAACGTGTTCTAATCTGCTGCGATTTCTCCAGTGTTCTTTTTCTTCAGTGATCCGACAGCCACACACATCAAGCAACCAACTCGCCTCCCACCCCGGAGAGAATTCTAGCTTTGGAAAAATATACAGATGGTGAATTTCTGAGTGCAAGGGTAAGAGAGAATCCTTTGAAAGTATACTTCTCCCAATTTAAGATGGAGAGTGGATGGAACAGCTACATTATGTATCAGGGTTTAAATTCTGCCAATGGCTAGTGGTTTTAGTTTCAGGGAGGAGGGAATGGGGGTTGCTGCCAGGTTGATGGGTTTGAACCTATGAACCTTGCTCCATATTTTCAGAAAGTTGTCGATCTCCCTGCAGAAGAAAACGTGAGACAAGTCAGAAAAATGATGGCAACTGAACAATGCACGACAATTGCATATTACTGAGAGTTACAAACTTGAGCACTCTTGTATTTAAGATAATCACAATCACAAACATTTCAAAGTTTTTCTGTAAAATATAGTGATTGCATATTTCTAGACGAATGAAGCAGCCAATTTGCTCCCAACAATATTCCACAAACAACCATGACCAATTTTGTGACCCAGGATATCAGGAGAAACACCCTTCTATTTTCTAATCGTACCATACAAGAACAAAATTGCATTTATATAGTAGGCTACATTTCTCTACCCCTCCCTCATGGATATACCAATATGAACTTGGTAAGGAAAGCACACATTCACCTTGCAACTGTGTAAAAAGGAGGGTTGAGGAAAGTAAAATGTGCACTTTGGTTCACGTGCTTTTCTAGATTCTGGACAATGTTAGCAAGAGAGAAATGATGCACAAGTAGATATGCCAGCAATATCCAAAATAAACACAAGGGGATGGGCAGTTCCAATGTATTAAATAATAATGCTTGCATTTGATACAGCGACTTATCACATCTTCGAGACATCTCAAAGCACTTCACAGAATATGCTGTGAAGTGAATTGACTGCATATTTTGTGAGTGAAACACGGCAGCCAATTGCTCAGAGCAGTGTCCCACAAATAGTTGTGGTTTGAGTCACCAAATTATTATTATTGCTTTTTTGAAGGGATTCTTACGCCTGGAAAAGCGATCCAGCAATCGACTAACAACCGGGTTCCTACAACACACAGCTGTGCTTTAAACAAATCCTCTGTTCTGATCTCAATTGCCTTCCCAATAATTTTCCAGTTGATGATTGCCCTTTGCAGAAATACTCCTGTCCTATACATTTCTGGCACAACTCTGATCCTGTGCCTTCTTGTGCTCCCATCCATCTGGAGGCATGACTTAATTTTAATTTATCCCCTTATGTATCGTACAGAACTATAAAAGCTCCTCCGAAATATCTATTTACAGAGTTGAATAACATAACAGGTCATTCCTCATCCCTCTAACACTGGAGATCAAGCAGATTATTTTTCTTTTCAATGATCCGGATCAAGGTCGTACCATTAACTCTGGGTTATGATCGGTCGATGAATAGGTAATATAAATAAAACATAAGTATTTTGATTTGTTTTCCTATTATTCTAGAGAACGATACATTTAAGAACCATATTGTTTTTTAAGCCATTATTTACAATTTTCGAACTATCATAGAACTGCACCTCCAAAATCTTCTGTTCCTTTCATTGCATTCCCTTCAACATCCTCCTGATCGCCTTCCTCTTCATCTACCTCTTCGTCCACTTCTGCTTCCGCCAGCTCTTTGGCTATCAACTGTCTTGCTAGTTTGATATTCATTGCTTCATTGTAATGTATCTTTCGCTTCATCTCAAATTGCTGCTTGTTTTCTGAAAGAGTAAATGGGAAGAGAGAAAAAAACATTAACAGCAGCTGACCACACGTGGCAATGTCTGTCCAGCACCTTGGGACGTCTACCCAACATGAAAGGCGCTGTACAAATTTAATTTTGTCGTCGTTGTTGTTGGAATGATTACAGCAGTTCCGCTAGGAGCAGTTTCTTTTTCTTACATTAAAGTCACTACATGATGGAAATGCGGAGTAACCTTTCTTGATTCTGTAGCCCACTCTGTAATGATTGTTCAAGTCGTACGCCAGAACCATGCAGAATAGTCATTGAATCATTGAGTCCCGTAGTATAGCGCTCACCTAGCAATGGAGAGGACCCAGGGCGAGGCGGAACCTTAGGCAAGTTTCCTTGCTCCACACACCTCTGGTTACCTAGCAGTAAGTAGGAACCTGGTTGTTAGTCAATTGGCGGATCGCTTTCCACTGGTAATAATCCTTGAAAAAAAATTGGTCACTCATTGCACCACTGCTTGTGAGGACACTGCTGTGCGCAATTGGCTGCCGCATTTTTCCCACAAAATAGTCAACCCACTTTACAATATATTCTTTGAATATCTTGGGATGTCAAATGCAAGGATTATTATTAATGAGCTACCTATTGCGACAAGGCTTGTTCTGCAGCACACTTTAGTCCTGAAAGTGGGGGTTAATTTTATTTCACTTAATGCAGATCACACGCAATTAATCCTAACAGAAATTTGCACATATTTTGTTTGCTGTACCCGACCGACCCAATATGTCAAACTATTTGATGCTGACTTCTCAAGAGTCAGTAATAATAATAATCCTTGCATTTGATATAGAGCTTTTCACGTCTTCTGGACATCTCAAAGCGCTTCACAAAATATACAATATATAATATATATAAAATATACAAGGAAAATAACTGAATAGGGTGTGCAATAGGCACCTTCAATTTGTGCACTCTCCGAGTTGAGGAATATCGGTGTTGGGCAACAGAACATTGAGCACTCTGTGTGAGTATCCAGCACACCTGGGAAAAGCATGGTATTGTGGTCAACCCTCACCTCGGTGGTCCCGTAACCTGCCACTGATACCAACCCCAAAACAGTGCCCTCTACTCTTATACTCTGCACACAAGTTAACAACAACAACTTTCACATAGCATCATGCAGGATAGCTTAACAGTCAATCCTGCCCTATGACTGAGGCCACTATTTTGTACTAGAAAATTAAACTGCAATAACAGCAGGTTTTATACTTCAATTCTGTTCGTTTTAAGAAGTAGGTTAAAATCATCCAAGCTAATTTGGGATTGACAGCAAAGAGCACCGGTGTACAAATCCCAGGGAGCTACCCGATCCCCAGAAAAGAAACCTGAATCACAAGACGGAAATCACATTAAGTTGCATTAATTTAAGAGGGCACATTGAGTTCACACAGGACAATATAACTATTCCAGTATCAAATTTTATTGTAAAATTTAATAAAGACAATTTGTTGAAAACAGTGTATTCCAAAAACGAAACTATAAAACATGTACAACTTTGCAAAAAGATCAAAGCAATGGGATTTTCCCCATGACCTTTCCCATCTCTTCACAGAAAATGTTTTTTCTTCTGTAACCCAAACAACTAAAAGATCCAGATGTCTGAAATTCCTCATGGTATTAGGAGAAGTTTCGTCCACAAACACATTTTACAATATATTCTGTGAAGTGCTTTGAGACAAGCGCTCTGGGACGCTAGCCTGTGTGAAGAGCGCTATATAAATACAAGTTGTTATTATCTTGAAGACCTGATAAAGCGCTATATCAAACGCAAAGATTATTATTAAATTTTAAAATTCATTATTTTAAAACTTTAGTTTAAAAATTATAATTATTGGAAAATTTGATTTGGTATGGAAACCTTGTTAAAAAAACTGTAAGGCTAAGACCATAACGGATTTCAGATTTCCTGGCCTTGCGACAGAATGAATTATGCATCTTCAGGACGTGGAACATTCTGATGCTTCTGGATGCTGCTGAAAATTCAGCACCATACTCCTCACCCTCTCTCTTCTCTCTCTGTTCTGATTTACAGTTCCTTCGATTAACTCCACCATTCCATCCCTCAGCCCTCTTGTCTCCTCCATAACGTCTATCCTCACCTGATCACATTGCTGCATTAACCTTTCGCTTGACTCTCTCATCCTTACCACTATTTCTTCCCTTGTCAGCCTCAACTCGTCTATTATCTCCCTTTCCACGTTCCTATTGTGCTCTAAAGTCCTTTCGTGGATCTCCCTGACTTCCTCTATCATTCCATCCCTCATGCTCCTCGATTCATCTAGCATCTGTTCCACCATCTCCCTGCTCTGTTCCAGAAGTCTATCACTTATCTCCCTTATCCCTCTCATTGTTCCTTTCTTCATCTCATTCATCCCCTCCAACAATTCCTTCTTCAAACGAAGCCTGTCCTGCTTGTTTTCTTTGTGCACAATTTTTAACTGTTGCAAAGTCTCTTTCGCAGATTTCCCCAGGGATATCAGGCGCCTGGTTGTCATATCAGTGTGTTTCGTTTGCTTCATAGGGTGTTGCTTGTCAGGATCTCCAGTTCGCTCACGCTTGTGCCCTTTCCAAGTTGGAGGTGGCGAGTAGGATATTGCATTGGAAAAGTGGATTTTCCGAGAACTGAAATCCTTGCTATCCCTGGAGGTCGAAGGCTGTCCATCTAAAGTTTGTTGTTTTCTCCCTATGGAACATAGTTATAAAAGATTCAGCTGTGCTACACTAAAGATTCTGACTCTTAGTCTAAATAGACATGCTAAAAACGTGTCCCACTTCACAAACACTATAGGTACTTCTACCTAACTTCTAAGTATTTAAGTGTTAGAAAGAATGATTTACTTACACGGAGAATGGCCAGTGGCAGAGATGACACCTTTCACAATTGGTGGCCTTGGTGCTCCCTTGTTCAGTGAGGCCCAGGCTTGAAGCAATGGTACACTTGACTTGCCCAGAGTACAAGTAGACAAGATTGCTTGCTACTCAGACAAAAGTAGTAGCCCTACTTTTCTGATGACATGGGTTTTATTATTCTGCTGCCATTCATTCGGGACTGAGTCTTTTGGGCACTCATATATGAGAGCAATTGACATGCATGACGGTATCTGTCCCAGCTTTACAGCACCGGTTAGTAAAGTCTTTCCAATAACTTCAGGTTTGTACACTAAAACAAGCAAACTACCTGCTTCATAGCTTCCTTACTTCTCCTATCCGTGGCCTTTTCCAGCATCGTAGTTGGCTGCCTAGCCATAATTTCAGTGTGCAGCTAAACTAAAAATACATTTCCAGCCCCTTTATATCCTGCACATTAAAAAACGCAAAGTTTGGATACAAGGAACAGAATGCTTAAAATATAAATCCAGTATATATTATTGCAGAAACTTATCACATCTTCTAGATGTCTCAAAGCGCTCACAGAATATATTGTAAGTTTTGTGGGCGAAACATGAAAGCACCTTTAACATTGAAGAACCAACTCAAAGACACACCCGCTTGTAATGAAAATGTACTGTAAGCAATGTAGCCCGTATAACCATTTGTTTGCACACAAAATCCAATTTATACTTTTCACTTACCAGGTTGACTAGCATACTGTAAACATCAATAATGCCTCCTGTCACATGCCCTCGGGAAGCAGCTAAAAATACACAGTGGACACGAGGCAACTCAGTGTGTTAGGGTCCCAACTATTGTGCAACAATGAGGCCGGTGGTTTTGAGCCAATTCCTTACACGGCAAATTCCCATCTCCACTGCGGTGCCAGAGTAGTGCAAGCAATCTAGCTTCTCCAGTAGTGCTAGCTTCTCCAGAGGAAGCGAATGTTACAGCACTGAATCAGGTCGCTCAGCCCATCATGCCTGCCATAGTGTTTATACCTACACATCTGATACCTAATCTAAGGTACAAGAAGTGGCAGAATTTTAACAGGCTATTATGTTCCGAAGCGGTTCACAATAGATCCTCACAGGGCAGATAAATGGAACAAAAATCTCAAAAGGAATTCTCTGCATATCCAACAAATGTCAGCAAGAGTCACTTTCGTTTTATTCCTCATTTCATCTTAAGTTAGTTATAAAATCTATCCACAAACAAAAAAGGCACAGTCTCTGGTTAGTTGAAAATCTAGTAATTTTCCAGAACCACCAACAAGAGGTTTTTAGAGAGACTTCCCAGAACAAAATCTTCTCAGGTTGAATTGTCTTAAATTGCTCAATCATTCAAAACAATAAACCAATAAAAATCACAATCAATCTGTCTCCTCTGTCCAGGACGTTACCCCGCGTGAAGAGCGCTATATAAATGCAAGTTGTTGTTGTACAAGCAGTCACTCCATTCCACAGTAACTCCTGTGAAGCGCTTTGAGACGACCTTACAACATGATAAGGCGCTATGACAAATGCAAGGATTATTATATTATTAAATTGAGATTCAAGTCTTAAATTTGTGCACTAAACACATCAAGACACCCAAAAAGAAATTCTATACGAACTGTTCTTCATAACCACTCCTTGATAGCAAACGAAACTCGAAATCACACCATTTCCTATTCATTATGCAACCTGCAAAAATAGCCAATTCTTCCGGACTGAAATGATCACAGTCACTATCGGGTTCAAATTGAATGGAATTATAACATAGAATATACTTCCGATTGAACGCCTCACTAGAATAAAACCTTCACCAAAAAGGCTGATCCATTTGTTTTATTGATCTAATTACACTCGTGTTCAAGAAGCTCTTACCCAGGACGGGTTCGCAATACTTCAGTCAAACGATTTGAAGGGAGAAACTCATTGCAAGTGGAGCCTCTATTAATGTGAGTGAATATCTAATGGATTCTGTGTGAAACATGTTGAAATGTAAAAATATCTGTATCTCATAGACTAGTCTTCTACAACTAAATCCATAATGGTGCATGGTTTACCTTCAATAATTAGATTAATTATTAATTAGGTTTATTCCACCCAACAAACACTTAATTACCTCTCTTCACCACCCCACCCCCCACCCCCATTAAAGTAGGCTCTTCAGTTTTGATCCAAATGAGCCAGAGGTAGGAGTTGATGAGGATGATCAGTAGTCTTCATCACACTGTGGAAATCACACGAGCCGTTGTTCTGCTACAATCAGCTTTCTTCTGGTGGCCGGAACACTCAACAGTTTAGGATCCAAAACTGAACCCCACCATTTCATTTCTTAGGAATTAAGTCTGGGATAGTACGAAGTTGACCGTTGCAAATTCAGGGATGGTATATCTAGAAAAGTCTCAAAGTGATTTACTAACTTTGAACGAGTAGGACTGGAAAAATGACGGGTGACCAAAGCTTCTTTCATGTGCTTGGAGTGGTCTTGATTGCTTATACACAGAAGATAAATTGAACACCATAGAGCTTTGCTGTATAGTTGCATCACAGATAAAATCACCAATTTGAAAACATCAATGGTTTTCAATAAAAAGATTTGAAAAACGATTTAAAACAGGGCTTTTGTTTGTGCGTTTTGAATAAAACAAGTCAAATTTTAATGAAAAAGTCTTCAACCCATCCATAAATTGGATTGAAAGCACCTTCTTGAACCAGAGTAATAATAGTCCTTATATTTGATATAACACCTATAATATCCAGACATCTTAAATTGCATAATTGATAGTCAAGTAACTGCGCATTTATTTTATATTCAATCATAGCAGCCAATTTGTCCACACTGAGATCCCTTAAACAGCCATTAAATGAAGCACCAACTTGGAGGACTTCTGCTCAGAATACCAGGGGAAAAAAAAACTCTTTACAATAATAAATAATCTTTGCATTTAATATAGCACCTTCTCATGTTGTTGAGACATCTCAAAGTGCTTCACAGAATATACTGTAAAGTGGATTGACTGTATATTTTGTGGGCAAAATGTGGCAGCCAATTGCGCACAGCAGTGTCCCACAAACAGTCCTGGATTGAATGACCAAATTATTATTTATTTATTTTTTTGAAAAGGGATTATTACCCTCAGAAAAATATAGTATCTTGGGATCTTCAACATCCACCTAAACGGGCAGAAATGTGTGATCTTGACTCGAAATAAATTTGAAAAAACCGATTTTCTAAATTGAAAACATGTGCCTACATATTGTAAGTAAAACTGTCTTGCCTTTTTCTTCCGGGGTCAATTCTTCCTCCTCCTCTTCACTGCTGTCTTCAAGTTCTCCAAAGGCTTTAGGTTTAGCTCCTTCAGCTGCTGTTAGCCTTAAACATGAATCAAACAGAAATCTTGTTATTTTATTCCCTCTGACCAGGAAATAGAACTCTGCCTTGAACAATGTCACTTTTGGCAATCTGCCTTCTCTCTATTTGTTGTGAGAATTGTGATCTTCTTTTAACATGAATGCCAACAACAACAAAAAGAAATTGGTCACTTCAATCCACGACTGTTTGTGGGACACTGCTGTGCGCAATTGGCTGCCGCTTTTCGCCCACAAATATACAGTCAACTCACTTTACAGTATATTCTGTGAAGCGCTTTAAGACGTTGAGAAGACGCTATATCAAATGCAAGGTTTATTATTATTTTTATATAACAACAAAATTACATTGCATAGCGCTTTTCACTATGCAAAGTGGGCTGATAGGGTCGCGGAGCCTGGTGTGGGAGAGGACACAGGCTGCAGAGTTCTGGATGATCTGCAGTCTATGGAGGGAGGAGTTGGGGAGGCCGATAGCAGGAATTTTGCCTGGATGCTATCAATCCATGTATGAGGGTCTTGGCGGCCTGCAGTGAGAACAAGTGGCAGAGCCAGGCGACTTTGCGGAGATGGGGAAAAGCAGAGTGGGACATGGCACGGATGTCGGGTAGAAAGGATAGTTGAGATACTCTGCATTGATGTGTGCCAAAAAAGAAGAGATTTGGACTGGGTCACAAATCATTTATCCAATGCAATGCAGATGAGGATTTGATTTAAACACCGCTGATGTGTCTAGTTTTGCAATAACAATGGTGCAAAACCAAAACATTTATCCAAATATTAAATGGTCTGATGCACACGGACATAGTTAACAAAGATCCACGTCATCAATGGGCATTACTCCTAAAAAGATCAGGAGTGCACAGGCCTGCTAAGAAGATACACAGCTTGCATGCCCGAATCCACACGCCTAATAATAATCCCTCCAAAACCAAAAACAATAATAAATTGGTCATTTTCAATCTACGACTGTTTGTGGGACATTGCTGTGCGCAATTGGCTGCCGCGTTCGCCCACAAATATACAGTCAATTCACTTTACAGTGTGTTCTGTGAAGCGCTTTGGGATGTCCTCCTGACATGAAAAGCGCTATATCAAATGCAAGGATTATTATTATTATTATTATTATTATTATCCCAGAGAGCTGCAACAGACGGTCTCTTCCCTAACGTGTCCCCGCCCTTACACAGTTGATATCCTGGCTCTCAAGAAATCTATCGTTTGAAAAAGAATCATAGCCACACACAAAACCAAATGGCTAACTTGACCAAAATGGCACTTTCCATTGACATAAAGACCACACGCCATAACTCCAGTTTCATAATAATACTTATACAACAAATAGGTACTTACTTTTTCGCCAGTATTTCCGCAGTGAGGTTTTCATATGTTTCAGAGTCACTCATCACACCATCTTCATCATCTTCAACCATCCTGTGCAGCAAAAGACAGATAACAAAAACAAATCTTTGCAGTGAGGTTCAATCACCAATGAGAAATAACGATCTGCATACTTTATGTTGTTGTGTTATCTGAGTTTTATTGAAGTGATGGGAACCATTGCCATAAATACAATTTAAATTAACACAATTGAACATTAAAAACAGAAGTATCTACGTTTTCACGATCCCATTCCGACCGTGTAATCGTGTGTAATTCCAGTACCTTCAAACTAAATCAAAGTTTGTTGATTTGAGAAATTTTAATTTCACTTAATTCCTGCTATTCCCAAAACGATGGTCTAGATATACTGCACGCTTCAGATCAGAATTAAAAGATATGTCTGGTCACATAATAGTCAACGTTTCTCTCATCTCCAGCCTCTAATCACTCCATCATGACTTTTAGTTTTCTTTTATCTATAGGCAGAAGTGTGAAGCTAGAGAAAAGTCACATAATTCAACTCTTACTCCTCGATTTATCTCATCTTCTTGGGTGGTGACATCCACCAAGGGACTTGGGTGGTGACATCCACCAAGGGACTCTGCCCAGCATCGAGGTTTCTCCATAGGTTTTAAAACTTTTCTAAACTGAATTTTGAGTCACATGTCTACATGTTGCACATACAATAAGTTCACCAAATACTCCAGAAAAAAAATGATTTACCTGTGGTATGGTGTGCTTGGTTCATCAATTTTCATTAGCCCATAGTCTTTGCCTTCTGGATGATATGTGGCAAGAATGTTCATCTCATCCCATTTCTGGGACTTTTTACTGCAAAGCAGACATTCAAGAATTATATTTAGAGTCCACTGTTCTCCACCCACCCCGTGTTTCCAGACTCGTATTCCAACAGATTGACTTCAGGATCATTACTCTCACCTGCAAATCAATCATATTGAATCATAGAATTATACAACACAGAAGGAGGCTATTCGGCCCATCCTGTCTGTGCCGGCTCTTTGAAAAGAGCTATCCAAATCAGTCCCACTCCCCTGCTCTCTCCCCATATGCCCTGTAAACTTGTCCTCCCCAAATAATTATCTATTTTTCCCTTAAAAGTTGTTATCGAATCGACTTCCACCACCCTTTCAGGCAATGCATTCCAGTCTCACTCTCCCAACCTGATTTTCTCCAGCTTCACACTGCTGCTTAGCTTACCCCCTCCACTAGGCAAATCTGCACCTATCTTTCATCTCCTACCTTCTCCACCCCACTAAAAATGACCAATCCTTCATTTATTATGCCTCCTCCCTCTGGAATACCCCTCTGTTTTGCCCCTTTCTGTCAGTCACTAAAGGCCAACTAAAAACCTCTCTTCTCCCAGCCCAATTCCTCCTCACCACTGTTCTAAAGCTCTTTGAGACATCTCTCTATGTGGAAGGCACCACATAAATGCAAGTTAATCTCATGTTTCTGCAATTATATGCTTCATATAAATTGAGGAGATATTAATCTTTATTTCATATGAATTAAAAAGATTTTGATAAGTTCATAGCATTAATGACAATGAAAATTTCAGATACCAAACTTGAATTTCTTAATTCCTGGCTTGAAAGTGCAACCATGGGAGAACTCTTACATTCCTATTAGAAGAATATATTTAGTTTTGTGTCACTTTTGCTTTGATAATTGTCATGAGTGCAGATCCAGTCCTCAGCTTAGTGGTTAGAGCACTTGCCTCAAAAGTGAGAGGACTCCCGGACAGGGAGAAACGTTGGGCAACCCTTAATCCTTACTCCACAACCCTCCGTCTAGCTAGTGTGTGTAGGAATCCGGTTGTTAGTGAATTGGCAGATCGCTTTTCCGGGAATAGTAATCCCTTCAAAAATAAATAAATCTTGATAATTTGGTCACTCAATCCTCAATGGTTTGCGGGACACTGCTGTGTGCAATTGGCTGCCGTGTTTTGTTCACTAGACTTTACAGAATATTCTGTGAAGCACTTTGAGATATCTTGAAGATGCGATAAGGCAACAACTACAACAAGATTTCATTTATAGAGTGCCTTTCATGTCGGGAGGTCGTCCCAAGGCGCTGGACAGTTGGGTCAGGACCTGAGCAGGGGAAAATGGTCAGGGTGAGGGGAGGGAAGGGAGGGAGCGAGGAGAGGGGAATGGTCAGGGTGAGGGGAGGGAAGGGAGGCAGCGAGGAGGGGTTAGAGAGTCGAGAGGGGAGCTGAAGGAAGAGAAAGGTCTTGAGACCGGCCTTGAAGGAGGAAAGGGAGGAAGCAAGGCAAAGGCACTGGGGGAAGGCACTACATCAAATGCAAGGATTATAAGGATTATTATTATCTGCCACTCATACTTGAGAGCATTCTCATTGAACAATTAAAATGACTATGATGTTGTTGCTGTAGGTTGATCAAACAAAACCTTCAGTTAAACAAGAACTTATTGTGCATATAGATCAAAATAAATGACGCTATGGAAATGCAGACAAGAATTTTATGAGTAACAGAGGTAAAATGACAAGGGTACAAGGACTATCCTGAAAGGTTATTTGAAAAACAAGACTGGCTCTTTCACTAGACATTGCGCAAGGAGGATTTTGGATATCAGCAGAGTGAATGGTGACCAACAGCACTGTCCTAAAAAAGCCTACAGATGGACAGTGGATGTGTGCCATATGGCAGAAAACTCTCAGAAGGCATCTTATGTGTGTGGCCAGCTGGTTGTCTCAAGTTTAGCATTCCGAAGCTTAAAAGGTCATCAGAATCATCGTCACTACGAACCGCCCGCGCTCCCACCACCATCACCCTTCTGAACACTTCATCTTCCTCCATCGCCTCTCCTCTCACCTCAACCTTCAAGGTTCTGTCCTTGAATGGTTCAGGTCTTATCTGTCACACCATCTCCAATTTGTCTCCGCCAACGTTTTCTCTTCCAGCCCCTGCACAGTCTTGTGCGGTGCTCCTCAGGGCTCCCTCCCTTCCCTTCTTCAAAGCCCGACTCAAGATCCTCCTTTTCGACCGTGCCTTTAGCTGCTCTCCGACCTCTCTGCCCTCCCTCACCTCACGCTCGGGTCCTGATCCCCAACTGTTCAGCGGCTGGGGACATCCTCACGACGTAAAAGGCGCTTTACAAATGTAATTTTGTTGCTGTTGTTTTTGTTGTTCTACCCCCACCCTCCACCCCTCCTGATGCCAACCACCAGCTCGGACGCAGATCGCTGACTGTCCAGAGCATTGGGACATCCTCCTGATGTGAAATGCGCCAAATAAATATAAATAATTATTATTGCTGTTGTTATCATCACTGACCTCCCCCTTCTTCATCGTCGTCAACACCAACCCAACCCGCCCTCCTCATCATCAAAAACCTCCCCCCTCACCATCATCACCAACCCGCCCTCCTCATCATCACCACCACCAACCCCCCCATCATCATCATCATCATCACCACCAATCTGCTATCCTCATCATCATCATTACCAAACTCCCCCCCACCATCATCATCATTGAACCCACCCTCCTTCTCATCACCACCACCAACCCAGCCTCCTCCTCCTCATCATCACCAAGCACCCCCCCCACCATCATCATCACCAACCCACCCTCCTCATCATCACCAAGCCCCCCCCCACCACCACCATCATCATCACCAACCCACCCTCCTCATCATCACCAAGCCCCCCCACCACCATCATCATCACCAACCCACCCTCCTCATCATCACCAAGCCCCCCCCACCACCATCATCATCACCAACCCACCCTCCTCATCATCACCAAGCCCCCTCACCACCATCATCACCAACCCACCCTCCTCATCATCACCAAGCCCCCCCCACCACCATCATCATCACCATCCCACCCACCTCATCATCATCACCAAACTGCTCTCCTCCTCCTCCTCCACATCATCATCAGACCTCTCCCCTTCATCAACATCACCAACGCCCCCTAACCGCCAGCCGCCCCCCACCATCATCCTCATCACTGCCACTGCCCCCGGCCCGGCCCTGCCCGGCCCCCAGTGACAGGGCAGTGACTGGTGTGTGTGTGTGTGGGGGGGAGTGAGGGCGCCTCCCGCCCGAGGGTAACGGCCGATCCCCGCCCCGCGCTCACTTGTCTTCGTCGTCCGCCAACGCCGCCGCCGCGGCCGCGGCCGCCTCCGGGGTCGGCGCGCAGTGATCAGCCGCCGCCCCCCGCTTCTTCTTCAGGATACTTTTGATGGGCCTGGGAGCCGCCATGAGGAAGACGGTTTGAGGTCGTTCGTTCGATCGTTCGTTGGTTGGTTCGAGGAGCCGCGCGCGCCCTTCGCGCTCTCTCTCTCTCTCTCCCCTCTGTGGCTGTGGCCGCCGCCGCGGGTCAGTCCCCGGGGCCGGAATCCCGCCCCCCCCCTCCTCACTCCCTCTCTCGCGACAACTCGCGGCCCAGTCAGTGCGGGCGAGATGGGGGGGAGGGGCGGGGCGACTTGCTGCGCGGTGACGCAATACGCTGCGTGACGCGCCACTGCCCCGCCCCTCCCAGGCTGAATGGTTCAGATGCATTGAAGGGGCAACAACATCCACTAACCTCCCAAACTCTACCCCGGGGGCGGGCAATTATTTTGGCCGCTGGGCGGCGGGGCTGGTGGGCTGGTGGGTGGCGGGGCTGGTGGGCTGACTGGCGGGGCTGGATGGCTGGCGGGCTGGATGGCTGGCGGGCGGGGCTGGTGGTCTGGCTGGATGGCTGGCGGGCGTGGCTGGTGGGCTGGTGGGCTGGTGGGGTGGCTGGCGGGCTGGTGTGGCTGGATGGCTGGTGGGCTGGCTGGGGCGGGGCTGGTGGGGCTGGGGGCTGGCTGGCGGCTGGGGGCTGGTGGGGGCTGGGGCTGGGCGGGCTGGTGGGCTGGTGGCTGGCTGGATGGCTGGGCTGGGCGGGCGGGGCTGGTGGGATGCTGGTGGCTGGCTGGCGGGCGGGCTGGTGGTCTGGCTGGATGGCTGGTGGGCTGGCTGGCGGGCGGGGCTGGTGGGCTGGCTGGCGGGCTGGATGGCGGGCGGCTGGCGGGCTGGTGGATGGCTGGCGGGCTGGATGGCGGGCGGGCTGGCGGGCGGGGCTGGTGGGATGGCTGGTGGGCTGGCTGGCGGGCGGGGCTGGTGGGATGGCGGGCGGGGCTGGTGGGCTGGCTGGCGGGCGGGCTGGCTGGCGGGCTGGCTGGCGGGTGGGCCACTTCACGAGTTTTGGTTAAGCTTCACTGGCCACACATTTTAATACAGATGCAAACGCTTAATAATAGCTCGGGTGGGGTGGGGAGCCAGTGGGGTCGGGCGAGGGTGGGAGTGATGGGGGTCGCAGAGCCTGGTGCGCGAGAGTAGACGAGCTGCAGAGTTTTGGATCACCTGCAGCTTGTGAAGGGAAGAGTTAGGAAGGCCGATGAGGGAAGTTACATAATCGAGCCTTGAGGTGACAAATGCGTGGGTGAGGATTTAGGCAGCCTGAGGGGTGAGGCAGTGACAGTCTGGCAATGTTGCGGAGGTGGTAGGCAGTGCCGGTCAAGGCGCAGATGTGGGGGAGAAAGGACAGTTCGGGGTCAAACAGGACACCCAGGTTCCTGTGAAGTGCCTTTGATACGTCTCCACGACGTGCTGAGGCGCTATATCAAGTGCAAAGATTGTCATTATTATCTGCTCCCTCCGCTCTGAGGGCCTTGCCCGCTCCACTATCGGCAGTAGGGCCTTCAGACTTTCTGCCTCCACCCTCTGGAACTCCATCACGTAGCCTCCTCACTCCCACTCCCCTGCCTTTTTCAAGGCCCGTCTCAAGACATTTCTCTTTGACTTTGCGTTAGGTTATCCTCCCAGTTCCACCCTCTTGCCTTCCACCACTTCTGACTTCAACCCCCAGCTCAGGTGCAAACCTTTGACACCAGCACCTTGTGACATCCTCCCGACACGCTATAAATGCAATTTGTTGTTGTTGTACAGTTTACAGAGACTCTTACGTCAGGTGGAGGTCTCAGAGCGCTTTATAAAGACCACACGTCGGGGGCTGTTCAGGTGGATGTGATTCAAAAGGAGAAGGGAAGGGATAAACTGTATTACCAGTTTGCCCCCTCCCAATGGCACGCTCCTAAATTCCCTCCTCACCCATTTCCTTTCTGCTTTCAAATCTTGCCTGAAACCCTATCTCTCCCCCTCCTCTTCTGTGCTATAACTATAATTCTATTTAATCTTCTGAAAGGCGAGTTGGAAGCACTCTTGCCTCTGGGAATTGGATAAGTATTTTACCATCTTCAAGGGTGTTGTCAATCCAAAAATTTCAAGAACAGCTCTCGGCTGGTGTCAGTGTGACCTGGATAGACTCCATTATTCGAGGCTCAGATACAAGGCTCCAAACTAATTCAACAATGTATTTTCTCACTCTATAAATAATCTTTACATGAATCATTTTATGCATGCAAATAATGTTTAAGGTTTTATATAATTGGCACAGTTTTCTTCAGAGATTTATAAAAAATAAATAATACCGTATGATACTTTAATTATTTGCAGTTTCTAGCATTGGTTTCTTTGTGATTAATTAGAAGAAACGTATCTGGGTTTGAGACACAAAACAGAGGCATATTATTGCATGAGATCATTGTGGATTAATTTTGACTTACACTTCAAGTTTTATTATGCTTATGTAATTAGGAGTGAATCATCTGCCTTTATCAGGCAAAAAGAACTAACCAGCTAATTTGTAAAAGAATCAGAAATCAACAGATGGAAAAATCTTATGTGATGATTCCAGTAACAATAAAACCATTTATGACAACAATCACAATTCCCACACAGCAATAAATTGGGTTAGTGGCCCTATGTCATCACTGCTTATTCAGTTAATATGGTTTTATTATTTTATTTGCAGTTATTAAAAAACACAACAATTAAAAGAATTAGGATATGGTACACGAAAATGGAATTAAATATAATGGGAAAGAAATGCTGGAATTTCAGATTAACTCAATCAGAATCTGTTAGAGAAATACAGATTTATGTTTCAGGGGTGACATAAAAGAATTTAGGAACAGAGGGACATTTTGATCTATTCAACCTGCTTCATCACAGAACATTCCACAGTACTGTGGACCCACTACTTCGCCAATCCACTTCCCTGTCTTTATGTCAGGGAACTATTATCATATTTAAACCACCGTTCATCCACAAAACACAGTCACTCCACTTTTCAATATATACTGTGAAGCACTTTGGGACATCCTCCTGACATGAAGACCACTGTAACACAAATGTAAGCATTATTACTATTTCCGTTTGGCAAATCTGTCCATCTCTTAAGCTCCTCAGTCAATTTCTCATCGACTGCTACCTGGGGCAGTGCATAAAAAAATCTTCTAAAAAGAGAAAGTATTTCTTGTTTTAGCTGAGTCGGAAGAAAAATGGAAAAGCACAGTTTGAGTCAAGTAAAAAATTAAGGGTTGATGCACACTTTCAAACGTTCAACAAAGCTTCCTTTTCTTTAATTCCACATCTCAGCCTTTCAGTTAAAGAGTTTTAATATTTCAGTAAATAAAGTGCTGCTAGTGAAAGACTGAAAAGAGCAGTAGAGAGAGAAAGGGCTCCACTTCCAGCCCAAACGTTCATCGAACACTGGGGGTATGGCTCAATGCAAGATGCATAGGCCATCACATGTGCGATGTAATGTTCCTCGTGTGTGTTGTGGAACAGATGAGACATGGGACCTTTGGCGTAAATTGGCACGTCTTCCCCACCGTGGGTTTCTGAATCCAGCGGAACAGCAGCCTGCTGTTTATATTCCTTGTCCTCTGCAAGAGGGAAAATCTCATTAAAAGGCACGGAAAATAAGGCAGCCCTCTCAGTGTCATGTCAAACTGTGGTTGCTGGACTCTTTTTTTTCCCCTTTGGTGGAGTGTGTGTTCATCAAACCTGAGTTACTTCCAGGCCAGCTGTAACATGGTAGAGTTAAGCTCCCTCTAATGCAACAATTAATTTAATGCAACAGTTAGAACATATGAATAATGCAACAGTAGGACATTTCTATTTGTCACATCAAAACTCCTTTTGATTTCATCGAGTGACACTCAAACTGGTGCCAATTAATGCTGAAATATTGGAGTTTTATGCAGACATAAAACAGGCGTGTCACTCATAAGGCAGAACGAAAATCATTAACAAGTCACTCCCCCCAACCCCCTCTCTCTTTCTCTCCCCCTCTGTCAACCTCAGCATACCTGCAGTTCTACCCATCTATGTGCCACCTGTTATGTAGGGTAGAATTGGAATGCACACTCTGGGTGTCCAAGCCTTGGTTCTTGCTAACCTGTGCCTAATACTTAAGTAGGTTGCGTCCCTCTTGGGAGAGAGTACGCATTCCATTCCAACAATCTATCTCTGGTATTTCCATGTGTAGATGCTTGAGTTGGATACTCTTCAGCATGATGATTGGTTTCTGCATGTGTCAGACACCCGGCCAAACAACAATGAAGCTGTAATTCAGCATTCTTACCAATTATAGGTTTGCTTATGTTGGGTCGACTTCCATTCTTAATTGCGTAACCAGGTCCATTACCATACACAATACCTGTGTATGGCATATTGTCAGCGGCTCTCAATGGTGCCAGACCTACAACAATACAGGTGAAAATTTTGTTATTTGTTCACATTACAACAAGTAAATTAATGAATCTACAATTTTCCTCCCTTAATAGGCAAATATTAAGGGCTAATTTGTTTAACTCTACCATGTTACAGCTAATATTCCATTATATTTCTTCATCTGTATTGTCCCTAACTTCTGAAATTACGTTCCTTTTGCTCCCCCATCTCAAATAATAAATCCCACCTTCAAATTTACTTCTTCAACCTCACCTTAGGTCACCTCTCCCCCTCTACCCCCTGCCTCTGTTCAGCATCTGAACCTGCCACTGTAAAGCGCTCTAAGGCGCTATTCTATGTGAAGAGCGCTGTATAAATACAAGCTGTTATTAATAACAATCATTAATAATCATTAATACTAATCCTTGCATTTGATATATGCCTTTCACGTCGGGATGACTTACTGTGGATTTGTAGGCAAACCCGATAGCGCCAATTGCACACAGCTTGCTGAATTTCTTACCAAATATTGAATTGCCACGGAAAGTGTATCCGCCAAAAGCAAACACGTGGGAATGATCCGCTGTGACAATAGACAGGGTGTCGAAGTCACTTGTGAAGTGACTGGCTCTTTCAATAGCTTCATCAAACCTCACAGCCTCTGTCAAAGCGTGGTGTGCTTTTCCATCATGGTGTCCGTGATCAATTCTCCCACTTAAAGAGAAAAACGTAGAAACTAACTTTACATGCTTGTATCTTATAATTATACTCACAGATTAGATATTGTCCAATGTTAGTTGCAGAGTTTCTCAACACTGGGGCTTATCCCCATATTTAACAGCAAAATAATAATAATAATCCTTGCATTTGATATCACGGCATCACAGATTCCAATTGTGCACAGCAGAGTCCCACAAACATTTGTGTATTAAGTGACCAAATTATTATTTTTTAAAACATTTTTTGAAAGGATCCGCCAATTGACTAACAACTGAGTTCCTACTTACTGGTAGGTAAACAGAGACTTAAAGAAACTTGCCTAACATTTCGCCCTGCCCAGGAATCAAACCCAGGCCCTCTTCCTTGCGAGGCAAGTGCTCTAACCAATACGCTACAGGACTCTAAATGTAGAACATATAGAAAATATAGAACAAATGTTGATGCATTTTAGCCACTTATCTTCCACGAACAGAAAAAATCCTTTGGGATTCTTGCTAAGTATTCGAATGGCTTTCTCAGTCATTTCAGCAATGGATGGATCCATCAATGAATTTCGGTTCAAGTCATATTTCATATCCTTGGGTTCAAACAATCCTAAGTATAAAAATCAAATGTGATTTCATCGTAAACTTATATCATGAAAGCACCTTACATAAACAGGGTAGTGAAGGCAAAATGCATGGGCACATTTTAACTTAAATTAGAATCATTACACTTAGGCAGTATAAAGACGATTATATTAGCAATGATTACCAGATTAATGTGCATAAATACTGCATAAAAGAAGCATATAAAGAGTACACAGCATTTTTAATGAAACTAAAGTTTAAAGATATCAAACGTAATAATAATTAATGCGTTTAATTTACTGCTTTATCACGTCTTCGAGATGTCTCAAAGCACTTCACAGAATATACTGTAAAGTGTAGTGACTATACGCTGTGGACGAAATGTATACTCTGTACATTGGAAATCGTAAAACTTTATTGATTAAACTATTATTAAACTAAACTAAATGGCACAGGCTGCTACGCAGGATAGAGACAGAGAACACCCAAAGGCTCCTATAGTGTCTAAGGGTCCTTCAGCCCATTTGTCAGACGCACCCATCAAGTACTTGGTGGTCCTCACGTTTACACCATCGAGCTGAGATTTATTCCAAACGTAAACTGAATCCTGATAGAGATAAGAAGCCAAAGCATTAGAAGGCAACGTGCAATCGATGTGAACAAAAGCATTCAGTCGGATCATTCAACAACAAGAACAACTTGCAGATTAGCTTCCCAGAGCGCTTAAGAGTCTCAGAGTCCCAATCCCATTCATAGCCACGCTTAAAGATTTGATAAATACTTCTTTGTTTTTAAGCCAGATGTCGATCAGGTTTTGTTTGTCTTTTCGAATGCCATTTTGGGTGGGATCTTTTGGATATTCAGGGTCTGCGGTTCCTGCCGGAGTCATGTATATTCTTCCTCCTCCCATTATTACCTAGAAAACCAAACATAATGTTACTCTCCTACACCAAATATTTAAATGAGCAATCCCTAAAAATAAGACATCCCTCAGGTTCTGCGGGAAAATGGAAACAGGTCTCAGCCATACAGACCAGGAAGTTCACCTGTTCACTCTCTGGCACCACCATGGGCAGTTGGGCCTTCACCCTCCCTGCCCCCACCATTTGGAAATCCATCCCACATTCCCTTCGCCTCACTCCCTCCCTTGCCTCCTCCAAGGCTCATCTCAAGACCCTCCTCTTTGACCAAGCCTTCAGCCACCCTCCTATCCCCACTGCCCTCCACCCACCCTGATCCCATACACCCCCACAGCCCCCACCCCACTCGGGTCCAAATCCCTGACTGTCTAGCACCTTGGGCCGTCCTCGACTTGAAAGGTACTAAACAAATGTAATTTTGTATTGTATCTGATGCAACAACAGCAGCAACAACAACTTGCACTTCTATGGTGCCTTTCACCTCTCGGAGCGCTTCACAAAGATGGAGTAGTTACTGTTGTTTGTTGAGAGGCGGGAGGGGGAAAAAATTAAGGAAACCCAAATGCTCGGTAATTATCGCTAAATTACCTTTTTGTCCTATTCAAAGAAGCTTTTAAAGACAGAGAGGAAGCGAGGTGATGGGAGTTCCAGAGGCGTGTAAAGGCTCTTTCAGTTCAGAAGAAACAATTTTGAACGTGACTGTAAGTTCACAGAATTGGACGCGCAGAGTTTTCTCAAATGAGCGCCTCAGCAACAGGCCTTGTGGAATTTGTTGAGGAAGCTGCACAGCTTTTTTTTGTTATTGTACTTTGGAGCACTATCTGGGTACATGCCCATGCGAGGAAGGTGTGTGCTCAGAGGAAGTTATTTTATCTAGCAACATATGCTGTATGATAAGTTTGTAATAAAACAATTTCGATACAACATACAATCGCTGTGAATGTTTCGACACTCTTGCGAGATTTGGAAATCATTGGTAAATCACGTGGAGCTGATGATGACAAGTTAGTACAGATTGGCACTGAGCCTGTACGCAGGATGGGTGGAAGGTGGTGTGGGGGGTGGGTGGGAGATAAATTGTTTTAACCGCAAGCAATTCACCAGTTTAAGCTCCAATGAGAAAATGGCGTCCTTCTGTGCTGTAACCTCCACAATTTAAAAAGCGTAACCTCTCAGTTGAAAGTGTGACATTGTTTTGCTGTAATGTGCTCATAAATCCTATCAGTTTGGTTGTTTATTTTACAATAAGCACTTGATCAACGGTGAAGGGTTTTTATGAAGTAATGAATCACTTGAACCTTCTGAAACTTACATCAATGTCTACATTATGTATGAGCTGAAGGGCAATGTCTTTGCATCCCGCTTCGATTGCCTCTGCTGGCATATCGGCGTCACTGTACCAGTTCCTCTCCACGGAATGGGCGTAATTGGCAGAGGGTGAGGCGTGCTGCACACGAGTGCTTGTCACAATGCCCACAGACTTCCTGAACAAAGGGGCAAATGAAAGAAATTAAAGAGCGCTACCAATTCTCCAAGCTGACACCTAATATACACTGCGTAAAGATCCGCCTAAAGACCTTCCTCTCCGACTGTGCCTTTGGCCACCCCTCCACCCCTGCTGACACCAACTCCCAGCTCGGGTCCAAAAACCTCTGACTGTCCAGCCCCCTGGGGTGTCTTTCCGACATGAAGGGCGCTATAAAGTGTAATTTGTTGTTATTGTTGTAAATCATAGAATCATAGAATTAGAAAACACAGAAGGAGGCCGTTCGGCCCATCCTGTCTGTGCCGGCTATCCAAATCAATCCCACTCCCCCGCGCTCTCCCCATAACCCTGCAAACTTGTCCTCCCCAAATAATTATCTGCTTCTCTCTTAAAAGTTGTTATCGAATCGGCTTCCACCACCCTTTCAGGTAATGCAACAACCGAACAACTCGCTGTGTGAAAAAATTTCTCCTCGCCTCCCCCCTGTTTCTTTTAGCAGCTATTTTAAATCTGTGTCCTCGGCTTAATCCACCCGCCAGTGGAAATAGTTTCTCGTGAATCCCCTCATAATTTTGAAAACTTCTATTAAGTCTCCTCCTAACCTTCTCTGCTCCAAGGAAAATAATTCTAGCTCATGACCATACTGAACATTTGCTACTGAAACAATTTTTTGTTAAATATTTTAAAGAAATTGGAAACATTTTAAAATACGCAGTATCAAAGAAGTTTGATACAAATATTAGAGTTGCCTTGGAATGTTTTGTTTAAACAGTAAGTAGGAACCCGGTTGTTAATCGACTGGCGGATCGATTTCCGGAGGTAATAATCCATTGAAAAATAAATTAGTGAATAATTTGGTCGCTCAATCCATGACTGTTTGTCGGTCACTGCTATGTGCAATTGGCTGCCAGGTTTCACCCACAAAAAAAGGCTCAATATCAAATGCAAGGGTGATTATCCCCCACTTCCTTCTTACCGGCAGCTTTAGATCGCTTCAGGACTGATTCAACTTCATTGCCAAAAGTGGTGTTGCACACTTTTCGCCGGGCGGCTGCACTCAGTCCCACGGTTCCGGAGTTTGCTTTCACTCCACACAGGTACGCAGTGGCTGTGCCCGCGCTGTCAGGAATTTGGAAGTCAACATTGTACGTCTAAACACAAACCAGAGACACTGCGGTCAGAGAATTAGTACAACCTGCAGTCAGCAGAATAGAATGACCGACACCCGCATTATGGAGTCCCATGGTCTAGTTCTTTGTGCGCTCGCCTCGCAAGCGAGAGGATCCGTGTTTGATTCCCGGGCAGGTGAAACCATAGGCAAGTTTCCTTATTCCCACACACAAGCCTCTGTTAACCTTGCAGGAAGTCGGCACCTGGTTGTTAATCGATTGGGGGATCGCTTCCTGGGGGAAATAATCCCTCCAAAGAAAAATGTGCTTACTCAATCCATGACTGTTTGTGGGACACTGCTGTGACTAATTGGCTGCTGTGTTTCGGCCCACAAAATATAGTCAATCCACTTTACAATATATTCTGTGAAGTGCTTTGAGACGTCTCAATGACGGATTAAGGCATTATATCAAATGCAAGGATTATTATTGTTATATAATGGATCGACGCACAAGAAGTTCCTCCTTCCCCTCCTCTCCCCACCCCCAGTTTCCTTGTAACACCAGACAGGCATCAGAAGGAAAGACTGAGGTGCCTATTTTCCATAAAATGTGAAAATGTGCAAGTCTGCGCTCGTGCTTTGCACCGTAATGCATTTATTGCCTCCAATTTCTCTTAAGCACGGTGATGGGTCAGAAACACCCAGCTGATCAAAGAAAAAATATATATTGGGCCATCTTGAATTTGTGCCCTCTCGCTACTAACTGGCCAATCAGTGAGAAGTCCTCGCCTGCCTCCACTGGCTCTCCAAACCCACAGAGGATAGAGTTCAAAATCCTCGTCCTCGCCTTCAAGGCCCTTCACAGCCTTGCTCATTCCTACCTCTGTGACCCATTAACCCCATATCAACCCGTCCGCTTCCACTGCTCAGCAGGCTGCAGCTTCCTCCATGACCCCTGCCCGCCCCACAATCGGCGGTCGGGCCTACAGTACGAAATGCGCTATACAAAAGTAATTTTGTATTGTATTATTTTGGTCCAATGATCTTTAATAATCCCCAAGAAGTCTATCAAGCCATCCCTTAGTCTATCAGCTCTGACTGTCTCCTGCAATGTGATGATGTGCTGCTTCCAGTGAGTAGATCACAGGAGAATCAATGACAGCAGTTCAAAGGTAGAACCACTATACAACACACGAGTGAGGTCAAAGAACAGGTTATCTGCTGTGTTTGTGAATGTGCTGCAAATCTCAGCTTTGAACAGTTTTACGCACAGTCTGAACTTTGCCTTTGTGGGGTTGAGCCATCACCTAAACGCTATTTTATAGTTATAATCATAGAATTATACGCACAGAAGGAGGCCATTCGGCCCATCGTGTCTTTGAAAAGAGCTACCCAAATCAATCCCATTCCCCCGCTCTCTCCCCATAGCCCTGCAAACTTGTCCTCCCCAATTTATAAATGGTCTAAATCTGTCACTCGGCAAAATGTACTACATCATCTCAGTTCCATTCACCTGCAGTCCTTGCTCACTAATCGTCTCTACAGTTTTCAAAGTGATTGCTTGGAGATGGTAGTAAAGTGAACATCTCACTAAGAGGAAACATCAGGGAGCAATAAAGTCAGATAATTAATTAGTGACACACTTATAATCATTTGGGCAATTAATCCTGATATTGTATTGCTGGGCCATGTTTGTATGCAGTAGCAAGTTTTCGTTGCAGTCATCATAATTTACTATATGATCCCATAAACATAAAGTGAGCCAACAGTGAAGGACAAGCTAAGTTGCAAAGGTAACTCAGTACCAAAGGTCCTGTTGCACTGCACAATCTTTCAACTCCCAGCTCCGACCTCCTCAACATCCCTAGCAACTGGGTACCTACTTACTGTGAGGTAAACAAACCCAGGTCCTCTCACTTGCAAGACAAGTGTGCTAACCATTCTACTGGACTCCTGGCTCCAAGTGGGATCTTGCTGCCACATTTGTCAGCAATATTAATAGTAATCCTTGCATTTAATATAGCGCCTTATCACGTCTTCGAGACATCTCAAAGAGCTTCACAGAATATACTGTGCAGTGAATTGACTGTACAGTTTGTGAGCGAAATGCGGCAGCCAATTGCGCACAGCAGTCCACAAACAATTACACCTCCTCGAGTGTAAGGAATGATACTCCTTGAAAACTCGAGAAATGCTCTAATCCTGTAGATGATCGGAACCCTTTGTTGCTCTGGTGTAGTGGAGCACATTCTGATATCGAAGCCTGACCTTGGACAGACCAAGATGTGGGAAAGACTCCATCGCAAGAACAGTTTCCTCCCCGGTCCTATTTTGTAATTGTCCTTTCAGGATTCGTGCTGCAGTCACAGTGGGAATTCCCATTCCTACAAGAAACAATTAGCATCTTTTACACAATGACCCATGAATTTATTTCATACGAACCCAAGTACTTTTACTTGGTAATAATAACCCTTACATTTGACACAGGGCCTTTCTCGCCAGGAGAATGTTCTCAAAGCACTTCACGGGATTTACTGTAAAGTGTGAGTGTTTTGTGGGCGATGGTGGCTGCCGATTTGTGCACAGCAACGTCCCACAGCAACGTCACCAACATGGCTCAAAACACTTCCTGGATTTTCACAGATTTTACTGTCAAATGCTGCGGCTGTGTATTTGTTTGCTAACTCGGTAGACAATTTGCACGCAGCAATGTTCCACAAACAGCCATGAACTGACTGACATTCAACTGGGGGATTGTTGGCCAGGACATGAAGAGAATTGGTGAGAATTGGCCTGACTATTCCTCAAGATGCTAAAGTCATGACCCAACTGTGCAGCGCCTTGGGACGTCCTCCTGACGTGAAAGGCGCTTTATAAATGGAATCTTGTTGTTGTTGTTGTTTCACTGGGTGGAGTGTTATATTTGGCTGAGACAATATGGTTGGGTGGCACCTTGGTTCAATGACTGCCAAAAATCGTAAATCGTAAAATTAGCATTATTAAGATAAAGTGTGGCTAATAGTGACTAACTGATCACAAGTGCCTCAGGTGTATTGTCCAAACAGAAGGAGGCCAAGGGTGAAACTGCACTTGACAGTAAAATCCAGAGTGACGAGGGCAGACATGTAAAATTGCTTTACATTTACAAGCGCAAGAAAAGTTACAATATATAATTTTAATGCTTACATTTGATATAGCGCCTTATCACGTCTTTGAAACGTCTCAAAGCACTTCGCAGAATATACTGTAAGGTAATTTGACAGTATATCTTGTGGGCGAAACATGGCAGCCAACTGCGCACAGCAGTGTCCCACAAACAGTCGTGGATTGAGTGGCCAAATTACTATTACATTTTTTTTTAATTGATTTTTTTTGAGCGGATCATTACCCCGGGAAAAGCGATCCGCCAATCGACTATCGACAATACTCACCATCTCCCAGGAACAAGATGACGTTTTTGGCTCTCTGGACAAGGGGTCGGAGTTCAAAAGAGCGTATCAACGATTGTTGAGCTGATACTTTCCAGAACAAGGGATCTTCCTCTTCTGTGTGGGGAATTGATTGAGTTTAGAATATTAGGCTACTGACTAACTTCACAACAAAGGCTTACAAAATGCCCACTTTTGTGTCTCTGATGCTGGTTTGTGACCACAATGCTGCAAAGCACAGCAATTCCTCTGGAGGGAGCGCTTGGACTAAACCAGAGAACATTTTTTGGTCGTAAATGACAAACTATGAATCTAATAACGAAAATTATCCTTTCGTTTGATGCCGCACCTTTTCACGTCGGGGAGGACATCTCAAGAAGTGAGAAGGTGGCGAGAATCTTACCATCGTTATTCCTGTTCGCATTTGAATTACAGTAGAATTACAGTTGAACTACTAATAACCCTCACAATTCTTCAGCATCTTATCAGCTCGTCGAGGCGTCTCAAAGAACTTCACAATCCATAGTTTAAATTCCTCTCAATTGTTTCTCCTTTATTGCTAACAACTCAGCCAAGACTGAAATAAATTAGAGCAATACTCAATCCTTTCAGTGCTTTGGGATGTCCTCCCAATGTGAAGGCGCTCTATAAATGTAATTTTGTTGTTGTTTGTTGGTGGTATAAAACAGGGTAGAGTCTTGGAGGGCTTAGCTCTGAGATGCTACCACTCGCAAAGGACACCATATAAATGCAAATTGTTGTTGTTTGTTGATGTTTGGTCATGAAGACCAGGAAGAACTGCACAAGAAAAGACCATTGATCCCATCTTAATGAGCAAAAAGAATAGATACAATGACTACAGTAAGGTTTTCCCAAAAGCACACAGTCACTCCACTTTACAGTCAATCCTGTGAAGCTCTTTGAGACGTCCTCCTGATGTGAAAGGCACAATATCAAATGTAAAGGTTATTATTTTTAAGGATTATTGTCATAAATTAGAATCATGTTTTGGTGATCTAGCGGTCATTTCTTTTAATATTGTATCTAAGTCTTATTTGGTTTGCTGTGAAGATATATAACAGATAGACTTCCGCTTGTGGCAAGTATAGGAGTTCTGCACGTGGTACAAATGCTCATTGTTTCAAGTTAGTAACTCTAATAATAATAAACCTTGCTTTTGATACAGCGCCTTTTACGTCTGGAGGTCTTGAAGTTGATTCGATAACAACTTTTAAGAGAGAAGTAGATAATTATTTGAGAGGAGGAATTTGCAGGGCTATGAGGAGAGAGCGGGGGAATGGGATTGATTTCGATAGCTCTTTTAAATGAGCCGGCACAGACATGGTGGGCCGAATGGCCTCCTTCTGTGCTGTATAATTCTATGAAGTCTTCACAGGATTTGCTACAGAGTGTAGTGACTGTGCACCGATATTGTATATGACACGATCGTAGTGACATCTCTCAATTTTTTGCTCCAATATTCCCCGTCTGTCATTTTCCTGACCATTGCTCAAAAGCAACAAAGAACCTTTTGCAAAACATGTGCTCATGTAATACAGAGCATCGGTCATTATATGGTGCTCATGCACTTCATATTCACAGCACTGAGCTTCGTAAGGTTTCTACGGAGACTTCTTAATATCTTTAGCAATAGAGAAACAGTGGCATAAACTTCAGAATTGATATTATAGGCAGAAACCCCCCCACATAAGAAAGAACAAGTGGCTTAGATTAGTGAAGTCCAGTTGGGAGTGAATGTGACTTGGATGGGGCTTGAACCTACAACCTTCTGTCTCAGAGGCGAGAGTGCTACAAACTTCTGCAAAGTGCTTTGAGATGTTGATTTAAATTTTTTTCAAATAATAATTTAGTCACTCAATCCACGGTTGTTTGTTTGGACATCGGCTGCCATGTTTCGCCCACAAAAATTCACAATTAATTCACTTTACAGTATATTCTGTGAAGCGCTTTGAGACGTCTCGAAGACATGATAAAGAGCTACATCAAATGCAAGGATTATTGTTCTTATTATTAATAACTTGTAATGGGCACCATTTCTACCTACAAATCCATTTCACGGCACCTGACAGCAGTTATTTTCTAGAAGCCTTCTTTTGAGACATTTATTTTTTGAGGCGCTCTATTAAAGGTAAGGGTTATTGTTTATTATGGTGCTAATAGTAGTCTAATCATGAGGAAATGTTATAGCTATAATCATTTCAGACATTTGAATTGGCTACAGTCCTGGGAGGTTTGTAAGTTTCAGGCTGGAGAAACACGATAAGATTGAAGATGGATGAGTTTTCACATTTATCAGCGAGGGGTGGAGTGAGAGTTTTATTTTCTCTATAACTGTAATTGCTGATGGTATTAGCCAGTTTCATTATTAACCATTACAACGGGAAGGACCATTCCCTCCCCATACTGTTTTGTGCCCTTCACACATCCATCTGGAACATTTGGGGTCGTACGGACCCTCTGAAGAGAAATCTGGTAAAATCACAGCGTCCGAGGTAAAGCTGTAAATTGGATTATTAGTTAGCTGAGCAACAGGAAACCATTCTATTTGTGCAGCTGTAACCAATGGACCCCTCAGGGAACTGGCTCCACGACGCCTGTTGCTCATTGCTATTAACCCTGTAGTGGAGTCCTGTAGTGTTGTGGTTAGAGCACTCGCCTCTCAAGCGAGAGGACCTGGGTTTGATTCCCGGGCAGGACAAAACCTTAGGGAGGTTTCCTTACTTCATCCCCCTCTGTGTACCTAGCAGTAAGTAAGAACCCGGTTGTTAATTGATTGGCGGATCGCTTATCAAGGAGTAATAATCCTTCAAAATTTTAAAAAATGGTAATAATTTGGTCACTCAATCCTCGATTGTTTGTGGGACACTGCTGTGTGCAATTGGTTGGGCATATCGCCCGCAAAATATACAGTCAATTCACTTCAGAGTATTCTGTGAAGAGCATTGAGACATCTTGAAGATGTGATAAGGCGCTATATCAAATGTAATTATTATTATTATTTTAACCCTTTGCTGGCCAGAAGGCCTGAGGAGGAGACTCCTTACTATAGTTTTTAACCAAGGCTGTGAGTTTGACCTTTGATCTTTTTTCGCTCACAAAACACAGTCAAAACCACTTTACGGTCTATCCTGTGAAGCACTTTGAGATGTCTCGGTGACATGATAAGACCCTGTATCAAATGCAAGGATTAGTTTTTTTTCTCTCTCCCTTTATATCAGTGGACTTGCAAAGAGTCACACACACTTTCACACAGTCTAGTGTATCGAGGCGCCTTACAGAGACAGCAAGGGACATGAAGGAGGGGTGGGTGGGGAGTCAGTCAAGGGGCACTCAGAGAGGTCTTTTTCTAAAAAAAAAGATTGTGAAAGCAAGGAGAAGGCACAAGATCAAGGTGTTTGGTGAGTGAGTTCCAGAGAAAGGTAACGTTGTGGCTGAAAACTCATTGTTGGGATTGGAAGGTGTGAGTTACGAGAAATAAATATGAGTTAGAGGTTTGGAGAGTACAGACAGGAGGGTGATGATCAGGTCCATTGATGGTTAAATTTTATGTCTAAAGGACAAATTGGGACCCTTACTCAAATAGCCATCCTTTTCCCCCTCTCTTCTCCCTCCTTCTCACAAAAAGTTATGGTATAGAGTCCTGCATCGTAGTGATTATAGCACTCGCCTCACAAACGAGAGGACCCAGGTTTGATTCCTGGCAGGGCAAAACCTTAGGCAAGTTTCCTTACTCCACACATCTCTGTTTGTGATAATAGTAATAATTTGGTCATTCAATCCACGACTGTTTGTGGGACACTGCTGTGTACAATTGGCTGCCGCAATCCATAGAGATCTGCAAACACTTATTAACTGGGCAGATGAAATGGCAAATGGTATTTACACTCTACAAATGCTATGATCTCACAATGAAGGGTAGACCATTAGATGATATGCATTAGGAAAAAAAAATTGGACACGTTCATTGACCATATGTTCAGTGTGTTGTCAGAGTACACAGCAGTACTTGCCAAGGCAAATAGTGTCAGGATGTATAAGTAGACTCTTAAGAACAAAACTCCAAGACAGTAATAGCGATGATGCTCTATAAAGCATTGGTGAGACCACAGTTGGAGTATTGTGTGTGAACTAATGGGGCTAAATCTGTTCTCATTGGAAAAAATAAGAGTAAGGGGTACACATGATCCAAGTTACTTAAATCCTAAAGGGAGCTGGTGGGGTGGATGCTCATGACCTGTTCCCAGGCGTTTGTCAATGCTATTCTTTATCCAGCTGCCAGGAGATCTGGCAGGTTGTTTTGTGCTGACTTCCCCTCCAGCTTTCCACCACACTCTGCTGGGAAAGTGGCAGATTTTGGCTTGGTGACCCTTTTCCCTCCTTTCTCTCCCCCACCCCCCCTTCTCCTTTCCCGACTCCAACCCACCCAACAACTGCGAAGGCCAAGAATCAGGGGATCTTTGCCATGTGGAAAATGACAGGTACGGACCCAAATCCACAACGATACAGCACATTGTAAACAGCAGTGGCTCCTTGATGTCTTGTGCAGATTGACCCTGCAGTGTGCAGTTCCAAACACGTAACTGAGACTACTTGGAGCTGTGAGGGAATCGGGAAAGCTGAACACTGCGGACAGAAAGAGCAATGGCTCCATGTGCTCATTTCTAATGTGTTTATGAAAAAAATGTTTTCTTTCAAATTTAACACGTTACTTTGAGACAGTAGCACCTTAATGATGTGCACTTGTTTTCCTGGGTGTCTGACACATGCGGAAACTCATCACCATGTTCACGCATGAGCCATCGAATTTTCCGTGTCTGGATTGGAATGTGCTTTCTGTCCCCAGAGAAACGCACTCTGCTCACCTAATTCTGGAGAATATTAGGCGCAGGTTGGCAAGAGCCAAAGATTGGGTGTTCGTTGGGTATACAGAGTTTAACCATCTGAAACCACATAGCTTACCATTGAAAGCACTGTCTGACAAGCTTTCTGCTACATATCCAGCTAGGCACCACCCTACCCATTAGGGCTTTGGCTTGCAGGGTTACCAGAAGCTGAGAGGGAAGCATCCCTGCCCCCATTAACTGATCTGCCCCTCC